TTCCTGCTGCCTTTTCCAACAAGGCTCAGAAAAAAGTACCATCTTTGAGATTTTTTTTGTCAATTAATCTAATTTAAGTGGAATTGACCATCTCGAAATATTCCTGTGGAGCACTAACAGCCCAGGCAATGCAAATGCATTCAAACAATTTCCTCAGGAAACTAGACTTCGAGTGTTTATAAGAGTATTGCTAGAAACGGTGCTGTTTTATCTCTGTAACCAACTCTCTCTTTTCAAGTCAAGATTTCATCTTGCTTCCAAAACTTTGCACTCTAGGTAGAGAGAGATTTTCGGAGGCAGAAAAAGGTGACCAGCAGCCTGGAGAAGTTTTATACTTAATACAAGTTATAAGTTTTACAGTATATATATCTGCACAGAATAAAATACACACACACCTCTCATTGTGATGATATCAATTACAGTTATTTGTTCAAAATAAGGCAACTTTCTTTATTTGGTGGTTGGGGGAAGACAGGCAGCATAACAATGATATATAAGCCTAAAGAAAGGTACTAGGTTTTGATGTTGGATATTTTTTACAGTGCTGAGACATTTCTGCTGCTCAGTGCAGCTTGGAAATACAGAAAAATATATTTGCAAATATTTTTTTACTAAATAATCTCTCTTTAAAAACTGAATGCTTATTACAATGAATTCCTTATATATGCCTTTTTTACTCTTTCCTTTCTTGCTGATCTTTTACCTGTAATTATCTGAAGTCATAAAATTATCTATCTTATACAAATCATCATGTTGCGATAAAATTCTGTCATTTGTACTTTCCAGCAATACTTGGATTCCACAAAGAAATTCTATCGAGCAGAACTGGAACCAGTCAATTTTAAATACACTGAGAAAGAAGCCAGAGAGAAGATTAACTTCTGGGTGGAAAATGAGACAAAAGGTAAAGAAGAAAATGTGCAGGTTGTTTGGTTTGTGATTGAAACAGTTAGGAACATTATGTCTGAATTTCAGTTTCAACCTTTTTTTCCAAAGTTAGCAAGATTTTTATGTATTAAACTCTTACTGCATTTTTTTTTGCTCAATAGCAAATAAATGTAGGAAGAAACACAAAAATACCTTGAGTTCCTGGCTTCAAAAGCTGTACATAAACTTTTTATTATTTGTCTGACAGCATTATGCTACTTTTCAGATTTACAGAAATTATTATTAATAGTCAAGTGCAGCCAATTATCTGAACAAAGTAATAATTCTTCTTAATTCATTATTTTTAAAGGTAAAATCAAAGACCTATTTGCTGCTGGGTTTATTGATCCCTCTACTGTACTTGTCCTGGTCAATGCTATATATTTTAAAGGAAAGTGGGCAGTAGAATTTAAGAAGGAAGACACTAAGGAAACATATTTCCAACTCAACAAGGTACAGTATGGGCAGAAACTGAAAGAGCTGGGGGATGGAAATCAGATGTCTGTCTCCTGTAACAACAGATGGGAGCTTTCCTTGTCTCTGTTAGCCCAAGACAAAACACTGGTCTTCAGCTAGAACAATAGAAAGCTACATCATCTGTCCAGTTTGATAACCAAATATGTAACTGTTCCTGTCAATTCACATCAGAAGTGGATCTTGTGCAGCTGAGATCCTGGCTGGGTCAAAGTCACTGAGCACATGCACTAACTTTGTTGGGGATGCTGCTTCAAAAATAGTCTGTTTTTGGGACTGAATTTGAGGATTCTGTTCCTCTGCTACTATTTACCAACAGAACAATATTTTCAGGAAAAAAGAGCTAAAGACAAATTATCTCAGGAGAATGTATACATTATTTATGAAGACTTTAGATTCATTGTTGCATCAGATGCATCAGTTTTCACATCTGACATTCCAGAAAAAAGAAGGACCTAACAAGACAGTTGTGAGTAAAGTAATCTGGCACCAGTAGAAATGGAAAAGTAGATTTTATGCTTCTAAAATGGGTAACTTCATTGGAGCTACAGTTAAGAGAGTGAAACACATCAATGCTACAAGTACATTAAATCAGTATAAATACTGTTTCTGGACTGAACTCTAATCTCAATACTGAAACCAATTAAAACCAGAGCGATCACTTCTGTATTTTCTGTTTAATATGTTTCATGTGTTCCAGAATGAGAGAAGAACAGTGAAGATGATGTTTCAAGAAGGTTACTTTAACATGGCCATTATAGAGGAACCGAAAATGAAAGTGATAGAGCTCCCATACTTTAATGAAGAACTGAGCATGTTCATTCTTCTTCCTGAAGTTGTCTGTGAGGACTTTACTAGCCTAGAGGAGGTAATACTTCCTATTCTCTCTAGTAGCATACATTAAAGGGCTGCAAACAGAGCAATACTTTAACATTGCTCCAGTGTGGTCAGAAGACCAATGGGAAAAACTGAATCTCATTATCTTTTCCTTCCTTTCATTATGATGTCAATCATTATTATCAATACCACCTTACAGCTTGAATGCACCCTCACATATGAAAAACTAGCAGGATGGACCAGCTTGGCTAGGATGCAACAGCTGAGAGTGAAGGTGTACCTGCCTCAGTTCAAGATGGAAGAAAGTTACGTGCTCAACAAAACTCTCCAGGAGATGGGAGTGATGAATGTTTTTGACTGGGGAAAAGCTGACTTGTCAGGAATCTCTAGGAAAGATGGTTTGGTTGTGTCCAAGGCCATCCAGAAATCATTCGTGGAAGTCAACGAGGAGGGCACTGAAGCAGTTGGTGCCATGGGACTCATTGCAGTGCCTCTGTGTCGCCCCGTTTCTTATGAGTTCAAAGCTGATCATCCATTCCTCTTCTTCATCAGACACAACCCAGCCAACACCATTCTCTTCTTTGGAAGATATTCCTCCCCATAAGTGGAGGTTATTTTGGAAATTAAATCTTTCTCCCCACTAACATCCCTACTGGCAAGCACTGGGGACAAAAGATGAGCACATTTTCGCTAGGCGTTATCCTAATGTGTTAATTTGCTATAAAAAAAGACTACCTGATAAGAGTCAAATTAGAGCTAAAAACCTAAAAAAATTTAACTATTTCCTTTCTAACATCAACTTCCAGTATGTTTTACTTTTAGGAGGCCTCACTAAAATGACATCTACCTTAAAATACACTATGTGATATTTGCCAAAGAACTGTAGGCCTCTAGAGACATCTACACAGAAAATCTTATTTCGAGCCTTTCCTAATGTAGTAAGTCTCCAATAAATCCAGGATTTTAGTGCCCTAGAGATGAGTGATACACTCTCCCACATGAAGGAGACAGGAGGATAAGGATCTCCATTAAAAGGATAAACTCAGGTACTCAGTGTCTTTTAGCTTTACCTACCCATCTTCTGTATAGGTCTCAAGGAAAATGCCACCTTGTATGGCAGTGGCAAAGTATTCCTGTGGTGCCCCTCCTTCAAACGTTGATCGGGGTAATGGTTCAAGCTGGAACTCTGAGAGCAGAGAAAGCAGACTTTTCTGGTGTGATTTTGCTTGTTCTCAAGCAGGGCAGACCCATCACTTATTTTTTTTTCTGTGAGAAACCCTGTATGTGCTAGAAAGTTCTTCAATTTCTTCATAAACTTCCACGTAACAAGAAAAGGGTTTCGGAACAATGGAAGGCCTTTTCTGACAAGGCGTGATCTGCAATGGCTGTAAATTAGACATTTAATTCCCACATAAAACTTTAAGAAGTGATCAGCCATTCTCACTTTTAAAAAGCAGCTCTCTTTGTGCCTCACATACCATGAGTTTCCATCTCTTTTATTCCTCATTAGCATAAAAACTAATAAAAAAATCTATACTGATGATATTTAGGTGGGTAGCCTGTGTTTGTTCTATTTATCATAATAAACCCACTGCAAACTAAATATTAAATGTTGTAGTCTGCAGAATTAAGTATATGGAGAAATAGTCTAATATAGCAGGTAAAAAAAAGGGTAAACCTTTCAAAAATGTAAGCAGCATTGAGATTTACCTCCTGTTTTTAAACATTCATCATGCTAAGTTTAGGCACTGGGCAACTCTACTTCAGGGCAGGTAAACCCTGAACCTCACCTACTGCTTCTCTCTTGCATTTGATTTTACCAGGGAATTAAGAGTGCAGTTTCAGGACATGGCTGAGCCAGTCTAATGCCATTGAGGAGGAGGAGGATGCTCCCCTTGTCTCCTTCCTTCCATGTGTTTCTGCTCCCTCCCTTACACCACCACTATTACTTGCCTAACTTGGTGATGAGCAGTTTTCTGGGATGTAAATCAAGAGGAAAATTTTTGGTAAAGTTAATTTCCTTGCTGATGACCTTGTTCCCTAAACCACCTCCTGGATGTAGGTGGTTGCGGAGTAGGTGGTAGGAAAGCATAGCAACGGGTTACAGAGAAGAGAGCAGCCTGCCCAGTTTGGCAGTAGGCAATGTCCAAAATCCACAGACACATGAAAAATACTTGTTTTTAAAGGAAAAATGTTCCACCTCTTCAATGACTCACTCTCCTTTTCCTGTTGCTCACTGGTGGGAAGAAGGTAAACACTGGGAGCATACTAGTGCCATTACAGAACTGCGGATTCAAAAGACTCTTCCAAATGCTGAGATATGCAGGAAAAATTGCAGTAAATTACAGTACTCGACACAAATTCCATTGCTAAATAAAGCAGACTCATGATAGTCTGTGGAGCTGTCTTATGTGGCTGCACTTTCAGTATGAAATACAGCCTGAAATAGTAACATTACCAGTAGAGGTACATTTTTCATATCAATTAGCTGGTCGGAGAAGAGAAGACCAAACACAGACTGTGGGGTCTTCTGATGAATAGAGCGTACAAAAAATAGCCATGCATGTTTTTCAATGACTGCCATTGGTATTTTGTGTATATCTGGTTTGTCTCAAATATAAATCATTACATTATTAAAAAAAGGTGAAATGAACAGTGTTAGAATGTATTAGCTCGCATAATCAGACCTATATATTTTCAGATAAAATGTAAAAGAAAAACAATTAATGGCATATATGCTAAAGGCACAGTAACAGGAAAATGAATTCTGTGTGTAAACAAAGAGGAAGGCTGAAACAAAGATTGTCACTTGGCTTACTACACCAGAACTAGTCACTTACGATCTTTGTATCATCTTTTTTTAAAAAACTTGCTCCAGGAATACCTAGGTAATTTCAAAACCAGGAACAAAATACAATATAATTTTTTTTTAAAAAAATATATTGTCTCTTCACATTTTTTTTTTTCTAATTGCCATCTTAATTTATAAAACAATGGAAAAATGTGGTGAAAACAACCAGGATCTGGACAGTAGCCTCCTGCTGCTGGTGTAGTGTTAGCAGCTCCAGTGCTTCCGCAAAATCACAGACGTTTACTTAAAAACCAAAGGTAAACCCTCTGCTCTGGCAGTAAGTGCTTCTCCTGTGGGGAACTGTAGCTTGTAAATGTGCAATGCCAAACAACGGAGCTTGCAGAGCAGAGCAAAGCCGGAGACTCGGAATGGTGCCTGGAGCAGACATGTTCCTGAAGGGGATGCCACTGCCTCCTCCCCGGGGACAGGTTTGACGCTTGATGCTGCACAGCCTGTTGAACCACACCAGCATACCTCACAGCCTACAAATATGTACACTGCCAAAAAACAAGGCAAAAGAAGTAAAATATTATTTGCATAAGCATCCATGGAAAAATACATTTGTCCTACACTAGACAGATCTGTATCTTTCCACAGTCTGACTACTGAGTGACTCTCAATTTATACATTCACCTTTCCTCTGGACTCTAATCTCTCTGATGGTTGCGGTTTTCCTCAGTTTTCTCTGATATTTTGTTTTCCTTTAAACTGTTTCTTAGTACCTATGTATAACATAATTGTTATTGTATCTTCAAAAGCTTTGCAATGGATGGACAAGAAGGGCAGAGGAAGAAATTTGGGTTGTCACTGAAAAAGTCAAAAAAGAGAACAGTTTTGAGTAATACTTTTTCCCCATATGAAGACTAGTCCTTAATTCCTTCAAACTGTAACTGGTAGAAGGTTTTATATCAGGGAGTCCTGGCTCCTTTTGATCCCAGTAAGAAAGGCACTCTGACTCTGTAAAGTATTGCTTCAAATGGCATTTATTGGAGCTAACACTATGAAGAAAAAGAAAGCATTGATACTTAGGTCCCTTCAGGGGCTCTACAGATGAGCGACTCAGCAGCTGTGTGCACCAGGTGAAGAGCATCACCACTTGCCAGCCAGCACCACAAGCATGACCCTGTTGCAGTGGGTGAGGTCCAGCTACTTGAGGAGTGGCAACTGGGCAAGCCTCTTCCTTTCTCTTGGCAAGCATGTGGAGCAGGAAAAAAGTCACCGTTTTACTGCTGCTTTATTATAACAAACTGAGTTATGGCTAGAGCCAACCAGCAATCAAGGGGCATAGAGCACTGGTGGATGTGCTTGGCCTCCTTTTACTTTGGGTTGCTGTGCAAACACAATGCACATTGACATACCAGCTACTATGAGCTCTGCGGGGGAAAGGACACGTTAGGCATTAACTTCACTCGGGGCCTGACACACTGACTCCCTGAGAGGTTTAATACAAGGTGCTGGTTGTCTTAAAAGTGTCAGCATCGATACCAATGACAATCTGCCTCAGACTGTGTGTGCACCCCACAGAGCTGATCATCTCCAGCACAGCACGTACCATGACTGAATAAAAAGCATCTGAAATCCTGTAAGTGGGTCTTCTTAGGCCACATCTCAGTTCATTTAAGGTCATTGAGAGATGCCAGTATGGCCTCTGCTAAGCACGATGCAGATGGACAGGCCACCCAAAGCATAAGCAAACATTACCCCCAAACACTGCACAATAGTTGCTGAGCAACCGTAAGAAATTAAATGTGACAATCTGAACAGAGAAATTCTGGAAAGAGCTGCTTTTTCTGTGGCTTAATACCTCCTTGATTATGCCAACATTGCTGAGCAACCGTAAGAAATTAAATGTGAAAATCTGAACAGAGAAATGCTGGAAAGAGCTGCTTTTTCTGCTGCTTAATACCTCCTTGATTATGCCAACACTGGGGAAGAGGGACAAACACTGTGAACTGATTTAGGCACGAAGGGCAGGAGAGTCCTTGCTGATCTCTTTCTTGGGACAAGCATGGCTATGGAGCAGATTTTAACCTGTTTGTCTTGCTTTACAACGCTACACTCTTATCTTTTGAATTTCAGGAGAAGCATCTGATTTCCCCAGGTCCAACGCTCTTACTAGACAAAGTTACAAAAGAACATTTATCTGCTGATGACTGCATATGAACAGCCCTTTCTGATCCAAATTTTCAGCTACTCACAGACTGCTCTTGTAACCACTTTTGCACTAACATTCAGTGTAGAAAAGAATACAAAACAAATCCAAAGATGTGTAGTGACAAACTACTCTCTGGAGCACTTGTACTGCCCCATTCACGACTGCTGGCAGAGCCAAACTTCTTCTATTCCATAAGCTCATTTACTTCGGGTGTTTTAAACTATATTGCCTGCCTTGACAGGGTAGTTTTTCACATTAGGGTAGCTAACATAATTCAGAAACTGAGCAGTTATCAGATGTTCAACCAGCTTACGTGTGTGGAGGTGATCATGTTGCTACAGAGGTATGAAATGTAGAGTGTACAAAGAAGGCAAATATATTGGTTGGGAGAACATACCAGAAACACCTACATGCCCTCTTCTAGAGGAGCTGGTGCAGCAAAATATTTGTTGGGAAAATCTTGGACATTAGACAGAGAGCTGGCCATCTGTGCAGGGCCAGTTGTGTCCTTCAGGTGCATGCCCCACAGATGTCCACACAAGGAGAAACACATTGAACTAGAGCATACAGAGGAGTGTGAGTGCCCAGAAAAGCTCTTCGGGGAAGCTCCAAAAGCATGTTTGAGCAAATGCTGACCACTAGCTGGAACTCTAATGTGCATGGGTGAAAACGGGAGAATAGGAGAAGACACACTACAGCTCTTTCCACAAAAAACCTGTGCCCTCGGGCAGTAATGGTTTGCCAGGATAATGTGAAAGCTACAGCAGCCTAGCTCACAGAATGAGGAACATTGAACAAGGTGAGAGGAAAGCTGCTGACTGTCTTTAGATTTTCCCATCCTCATTACTGCTATAACATCCTCAGATGAAAAGGTCATTCTGAGCTGGAAAACTGAAAGCCACCCCAATTATCAGGTTCTGTGTGTACATGCCTGCATTTCAGCAAGACAAAGCACACTATTAAGGGTAAAGTAGCTCCCTTTCCCTTTCACAGAAGGTCCACATACTGCTGCATGCTCTGTGACTTAATATGTACAAATTTGGGATTTCTATTATCCACCGCTATGGCCTCATCAAGTCTATTATTCAATAGAGTAATAGCTTTTTTCAATTGAATTATATTTGATATTGTGCATTATGGTTGTCTAACAGACCATGAATGTTCCTGCAGACAGATTCTGTACTTTATTCACCTGCCATAGTAAAAAGGTGAGTATGGAAGATCTATGAGAATGGCCTGTTCATGTACCATTGGCCTTGTTGCCATGACCTGTGGAGAATGAAAATTAAAAGCTGACTCTCAATCATCCTTTAAATCCTACTGGCTGATTAAAATCCGTTTCTGAATATCTGAATACTCTGCGGTCTGACTTACAGCCCAGCAAATATGTAATTCCTGACTGTTTCTCAAATCTCTTCCTCTGCTATGCCCACCCTCAGGCCTCTAATTCATCTCAACACTGCTGCTCTGAATGCTTTCATCAAAATGAAGTTTTAGAAAAATGTGCTTTCTCTCCAGAGCCCTTTTTCCTCCTCATGCATGCTGTATATCCTATAGTTTGACCTCAGGTAAAAAACTTTGGTCTCATCTAGGTATAGAAATATATGTGTGGCTGTGCTTTTAATGACTACAAGCTATAAACCACACCAACTCTTGGACTCCAGGAACATACTTCTGTATTTTGGGAGACCAAAACACCTTTCAGTACTATTTTGGTCTTGAAAAATAAAAAGTAAGTTTTGGGTTTGTTCTTAGATGGAAAAAATAAATTTCAAAAGCCTGTGAATTAAATGATCATCCCGCAGCTGACATTGCTTGGAATTGCATTATTTTGGCAACATCAGATGGTCACTGTCCATGAGGAACTTCCCTCTGTTCCACTGCACAGACACTGTAGTGAGTTGTTGCATGTATATCAGACTTTTTGCAGTTAGCCCTGTATCCACTTTTCCCTTCACCCTTAGTGGGAGTACTGTGTTACAGTGCTTTCTGTACTTGCAGTGCCTCATGGGTGAGAAAAAGAGAAACAGCTAGATTTTCAGGGGCTGATGCACTTTTTTGCACTCCCTGGTAATACAAGACTCTTTCCTCAGCTATGTCCGTGGATGCTTGCTAATGATGGACTGTGGAGGGAACTGTTTGCTCGCTCCCAGATCACTGCACTATGGCTACGCCTTATTTTCTTGTAATATTTTGGGATCTTTAGCTTCACTGGACTGTGAGAATCACCTGATCTGATGTTACAGCTAGGTTTATTAAAAATGCATTCTGTTTTGCTGGATATGTTTGTAACACTGTCTTTCCTCAGTTTTTTTGCATTTGTTTTTCATTTGGCTCGAGTTACCTAATATGGCCCAATCACATTAATGTGTAAATTCCAAGAATTGCATGAGATATACTTTCAGACTTGAACTCCAATTGCTTTGGTACAGCCTTACAAGTTACAGCAAAATCTTTAAGAATTAATCTTTTTCATTAGGTATTTCTTCAATAAATAAAAGTTGACTTGCTGCAGATAGAGTACCAGACTAAAATTGGTCTACTCAGTGTTTCAAAGTGCAATGAATGAAAAGGTCATGACGAAAGGCAGTGACTCAAAAGATGTCTCCTTGAAGGCTAACAGTGGGAGTGTCTCAAATGGCACAATATATATCACCAAGAGCTCAGAGAATCTGTTTAGGTTCAGCTGGCAAGCTGGATTATTACGTGCCTCTTTGAAGTTTGTGGGGTAAGTATTTCTCCAAGTAAAATATAATTTCTAATTTGTATTCTTTAATATGGAAAAAAAAGTGATATTATGTTTAAGAACTTTACGGTAAGTATAAGACAGATTATGTAAAAAGACAGCATATAGAGTAATTTTACCTTGCCTTATCAATCTGTCATACACTGTTTCACTGTCAAATACTTTTAGGTGTGTAAAATATGAGTGTTTGTACACTATAGCTTTGAGTAAAATACCTCTTCTTCGTTGAAAATCTGGTGTCACATTAAAACTGTTCTTTTATAATTTTAACAGTTATTTTGGGAATAAAAGTGTTTCTCTTTTGTCAGTCTTACTCTCTGGAGAACACAGGTGAGGTACAGTATGACGATTCAGTGTCTGTGGTTCCACAGCCATTAGCGCCAGATGGCTCTCAGGTCCCGTAACCACATCTGCTCCAAACTATGGATATGCTGCTGTTCCTCCAACTTTAACTGTTTTAGAGATACAAGAACAGTATGCAAATTTCTTGGTCTCCGTTTCAAAAGAGAGAGTGACTACAGGTTTCAATGAATATCCTTAACATGTCCCATTCATTTGCATGTACAGGACTCGCACCTGACGGAATGAATGCAGCTCTACACTGTTTCAAGCTGTACTGCCAAACCCCATATTTATGATATATATGCTTGTGTTTTTTCTCAACATAAAAGCATCAGTGGAGATTAAATGTTCAAAATGGAACTACAGGAAAAAATCCTCCTAAATCTATAGTTCAGCATCTAAGCAACTGGCTGGGTTTACAGGGCAACTTACTCCCATTATTCCTATAAACTACAGGAAAGCAACCTCCAAATTTGTGGCTGGTCACACTAAGCAACAGTAAGAAGTACACTAAGAGTATAGTGAGTTGACTACATTTGATTTAAAGACCCAGAGCATGGTCCAGAGCAGCCATAGAAGAAATGAAATACGAAGTTTGCATTGTCTCAAACATCATTCATAGTCCTTTGGATGGCCATAGGGAAACTCATCCATTCAGTGCTATATTTATCGTATTGAAGCAGGGATGAAACTATTTCCTACAAGGCAAGTACAAAATACTAACTTGATGGTGAGCTAGTACCTTGCTGAAAGAAAACAAACATGCATTCAGAGATAAATGGGTCAGGAGTTACAATATTTCTAATGATCACAGAATTTGCAGGCTTCACATCATTCTTTGGTTCAGCATCACAAAAACGGCAACGAACTATCAGTTTCTGGGCTATTGACAGTACTTTTTAAAACAAGTGCTACATATCACCACTCTACAGTCATATTTCTATTTGCTTCAGAGAACACTGATTTCACAATGGGCTCCATCAGTGCAGCAAATGCAGAATTTTGTTTTGATGTATTCAAAGAGCTGAAAGTCCACCATGCCAACGACAACATCTTCTATTCCCCGTTGAGTGTCATTGCAGCCTTGGCCATGGTTTATCTGGGAGCAAGAGGTAACACTGAGTATCAGATGGAGAAGGTAAGTTTCATAAATGGATACAAACTCCTTTTGATCCCATTCCACACAGCAACAGATTATCCATTTACATCTTTGGGACTTTCTTCAGCTGAGGGGAGTCATATAGTCACATTTGGCACTGGATTCAAAGCTGCCTAGAAAAAGAATGACATTCCAAACTGTGAGGTTTGGATCTGGAGCTGAATTTTCACTTACCATTGCTTTTCCCCATGAAGGGCAAGAATGGCCTTTGGTTTCCATTGAGAAAGAGGAGTGTTGAAGAATGGTTAAGACAGGTCTCTTGTTTCAGCTTATATTATCTCACAGACCTGATCCCCTCCAGGTGGAAAGGACAACTTGTAATATACACAAGATGAACCATTCAGAAAACAAGAGTCACAGTTATAAATATAATACAGTAAGGCTGTAGCTGGTTTATAGACTGAGTACCGTTAAATGGAAAAGAAGGAATCTAAGCTGAGGATCATAGTCACAAATTTTGAGTGTGGCACACGCAGTAAAAAAAAAATGATTTAAAGTTCACGTGAAACTTCTCAGTTCATCTATGTGCTAATCAGGCTGGTTGATCCAAACCTATAGTTTCAACACAAACATCAGTGACTCTCAGTGGACTTCAAGGACTTAATTTCTTCTATTGCTACTTTCAATTGCAGGTTCTTCACTTTGACAAAATTGCAGGACTTGGAGGATCTATTCAGACCAAGATACAGAAATCTAAGGTACATTTATTTCTTTTCCACATTTTTCTCCTGAAATTAGACTGTTCTGACTGTGCTTCAAGTAGGTTCAACACCTTCCCAAACTTTTGCTAATGCTCTTAATTTAAGAGATGTAACTTAAAAAAAAAATAAAAAAAAACAAACAAAAAAAGAAGACAGGCTGCACATATTGCATCAGAACAAGTGACAGGACAAGATAGGATGCTTTGGGCACCAGGCTGCCTTCTTGTGTAGAAGAGCATCTGCAGACCTGCAAGTGCTGCTGGGGCACAGCACTTGAAAAGGGCTCAGCACCTGGAGCAGGCGTACAGCAGTCAGACTTGCAGCTGAGGCTCCAAAGTGGGGCAGGAAGATGCTTTGGCAGAAAAGAGCCTGGAAGCCTCAAAGGCTGGAAAGCAACGACACTCTTCTAAAAGCTACAGCCTCCAATTCCCACTGCTACCCCAAAAGCACCATGAGGGGTCCCAGTATCTTGATACCACCTCTGTGCTTTCCTCCATGTTAATCTGCTGCCTCTGTAAAGAATACACAAGCCATGCTCCCTGTCCTGTCCCCATCCACTTGGGATCTACAAGCACAAGGTGGGACTTCCAAAGAACAAGAAGACTTCTTTTTTTTTTTTTTTCTTTTAACGAAGGAAAATAAAGGTAATATCAGCTAGATCATTTAGTGGCTGGTTAAGCATTTAGAAAGGAGCAGTTCAACACAATTCTCCTTCTCACAAAATGAAGTCCCAGCTACCATTCATTATTGTGCATTTTTCTTACATGATCTTAGCCTGTGTCACCTGCAACACTATTCTTGGGGCATTAGACAGTTGATCCATTTTTTTCACTATGTTATGAAACACTTCCTGACTCCCTTATCATCTAGCACTCTTCTCCCATCTACAGCTTCAGTAGAAAGCTGCCATGAAAATGCAAGCAGAAGCTGGGAACTAGAGGCTCTGTATCTATAACAACTTGCCAATTGCGATCATTGACACCTGAATAATTCTTTTTGTCACCTCACTCCTGAGCCACACGGTTTCAGGTTCATCACTGCAGTTTTCTGCTTGTTATTGCCTAGAATGAGTTTCATCATATACTATGAATTAACTGTACATCATTAGTTGCTTATATTGAACATCCCTCCCATGGATCTTTTAGACTGTACTGTATGTTCATTTGCAAATGTCCAAACATTGTATATTTTCCCACGTTATTTGCACCTTATAAATAATCCTCTTCCTAGTAAAATAAGCTAACAGATATATCTTTTTATCTTCTTATCAATAACTCAGTGTGGCAAGTCTGTGAATATCCACATATTGTTTAAAGAACTTCTCTCTGATATCACTGCACCAAAAGGCAACTATTCACTCCACATTGCCAACAGACTCTATGCTGAAAAGACACATCCAATCCTACCGGTGAGTTGTACATTACAGTGATTTCTTGCTAAACCCTCCATAAATCTGTAATCCAGGAGGACTAGCTAGAGTAGGTGATCTGTTAATCCAGCGGTCCCCACTGGTGTGGACTTCCACGGCTTCTCCCTTTGCCACAGCCCTGACAATAGCCTGAACGGAAAGCAATTCCAGGCAAAAAGATGGCCCTATTCAAAAATGAATGGAGTAATAAACAGAATTATTTGGTAATGTAATCCCCCCATTCCCACTTGCTCCCCCAAAGCTTTTTCATTTTAATAGTAGGTTTGGGTTTTTTTCAGGAAATAATTTGACTTCAGTACATTTCTTCACTTGAAAACCTCACCTCGAAAACATCTTTTAAAAGTGTCAAAATCTTTCATTTGATATTTTCAAAACAAAAGATACAAATACTCTAAATCAAAGACACTTCTTATCTCTGAAAATAAGGAAAAATGCCTTTTTAAAAAAAGGAGTGCACATAATGATAATAAAAGGCTCTGAAATGAACCTGAAACAGTGTTTTCGGATCAGCCTTTCTTCAGGAAAGTATTTAAACATTTCTAATATATACTCTTAACTGGTCAATTAATAAAAATGTCAGATCTGAAAGTGTCATGGATCAGAACAATTTTTCTGGCCCAGTTTTAGCCAGTTCTTCCAGGAGGTAAGCTATGAGAACAGCCTTACCATGGTATCACTATAAAAACCCTTTTAGCCTTATTTTATTTCACCTTCACACTGTTTTTAAAAAATTACTAGTTTGCTGGCTACAATTGCTGTCTTTACAGATCTACTTAAAATGTGTGAAGAAACTGAACAGAGCAGGTTTGGAAATGGTCAACTTCAAAACAGCATCAGTTCAAGCCAGACAGCTCATTAATTCATGGGTGGAAAATCAGACAAACGGTAAGGTCAGACAGGATTTTGAAATATACTTCCCTCTTGCAACTGTATTTGAACAACTTCTGGAAAAACTAAACATTAGAGGAGAAACTTCTTCCTCCTGTCCTCCTGTCCCCATATTTCCTGTGGAAAGGTATGACTCTATTGCACCTGTGTGGCAGTGGCAGTGTGTTTTAAACATATCTGGCAAAGGCAGAGGTGCCAGGATGTGCACAGTTTTTGTATCTGGAGAACTTAACTGATGCAAGATTAGTCCCAGCTTCTCTAGAATATTGGCATAATTTTACAAGGATGTGCTCAATGGGTAAGGAGTGGGCTTCCAGGGGAGAAAGTAATGCATGCACTAGGCTGATGGTGGGAAAGGAATGATCCAGGACCTTGTGTACATTTATCGTGCTGAGGTGGGAGGAAAAACAAGAGTGAAATGTGAAAAAGAAGCACAGTCAGAAACAGAAAACCCATATCGCTGCTTCCCTCTCCTGTTCCTTCTTTTCTATATAAAACTTTTTCCAAGCACTGGTTAGAAATACTCCCGGGGATGTATACCACTCTTGAATCTACCTGTCTTCTTGCAAAAATGTCTGGCCAGGTGCCAGTCATTCTGTGTTAAATTATCCTCGTGAACCTGAATTCCACATGCAGAACTTTGAAGAAGAGGAAGTCAAGCAGCAGCATGTTGATTGACCTCTAAAATGCAAGACCACTGCTATGAAACTTACCACTCTCTGCCCTGCTTCTTCCTTAAAGGACAGATCCAAGATTTCCTTGAACCAGACTCTGTTGATTTTAATACTATGCTGGTCCTTGTGAATGCCATTTACTTCAAAGGGATATGGAAGACAGCGTTTAAAGAAGACACACAGGAATTTCCCTTTAGCGTGACAAAGGTAGGAGGGCACAGACATAACTTCTGGCCAGGAAGCCAGGCTGTTGGCTTGCATCGCCAGCAGTGCGAGTGTTACACATACAACATGCTGTGGTCATTGGCCGGGTGACTTAACTGGGCCCCTCACTGTCAGGTTTGCAGGAGCTGTGTCTGACCAGGGCACACCAGCAGACGAGAGGAAAATGGAGACACAGCTCTTCTTCAAAGGCAACATGCTTGAAGATCGAGTCCTGTCCCTTTCAAAGGGCTTGTACACCTGACTGCTTAAAGGAAAAAATGCTGCTCGGTCATGTCGTCTCACATTTCTGTTTTTGCAGCAAGAAAGCAGACCTGTGCAAATGATGTGTCAGAACGGTACCTTCAAAGTGGCAGCGGTGACTGCAGAGAAAATGAAGATCCTGGAGCTTCCGTATGCCAGCGGGGAGCTGAGCATGTTGGTGCTGTTGCCTGATGATGTCTCTGGCCTGGAGCAGGTACGGCCCTGGCAGGGGAAGCAGCAGAGTTACCACTTCAGTGGGATTTGGCTGCCATCAGACCTTTTGCTGCCCATTTACATCCCAGCTGCCCACACCGTGGCTGTGCTCGGCAGTTGGGAGCACAAAACCCCCTTGGGTGCTCCCAGGTGCTCAGGTAGGGACTGGCCTCTTAGGAGAGCCCTGGACTCAGGCTAATAAAATGAAGGTAAAGGAGCATAGTGCTGCTGTAGCCCTGCAGAAGATGTATGTATGGGTAGATATTTATTTTTTTTAATTTAGAGGTAATTTCACCCACCTCCCCATATAAACTGTTGAGGAGATGTTGCTAAAACTGATGAGAATTAGGCATTCTTTGCAGGAATCACTAATGATTCTTTTTAACAAAATACTCTTTAAACATCATAAATGGGCTGCTTTCAAAAATTGCTCTGATTATGTCATCATGGAATGAAAACCAAAGTTAGATAAAACATGATTTTAATAAAATATTCTTGATTTTGAAATGGTGAAACCAATCAAGCTAAACTAACTGATCAATAACACTTCAGGAGTTAAGACTTCAGAGAGTCTTAAATACAGAGATGGAGAGGAAATACAGGAAAGATCTTTGGAAATTACATATCAAACAAAGAAAACAGAAGAGATTTGGGTCTAATAGGAGGAACATCAACAGCAGAAAGAATCCATTAACATACAAGGACAGAAAATGAGAACAGCATAGAAAGTAAAAGAAAACATCAAAACTGCCTTAAGTCAGGTTGAGTCAGCTTTTGCCAGATGCCTGAAAGTAGTTTTGTCCTTTAAAGAAAAAATAAAAAGTGGGACCAGTATGCAGTGAATCAAGAATACAAATATAATTTACCAACTGTGCAAAATTAAATGAAACTTTTGTCTTGGTCTTGGAGAAAAATGAAGCTAAACAACTGAGTGAATGCAGGATGCTAACAGCAAAGAGAAAATAAAAATGGACAGATGCAAGGGAGAAACAAAACTTGAAACCTTAATTTGCTTCAGTCAGGTGGACTGGATTATCTGCATGCAGGATTTCTGAAAGAAGCAGCAAAAAAATCAGAATTCCAATGTCAATCATTTAAAATAAAGTTATCACGGTGTTATCAAATTACCTAGCTGTACTCAAGAAAGGGAAAAATTGATGCAGCCTGCATTATATAAACCATTATTCTTATTTCAACAATTTTTTGGAATTATGCTATACTGTTATTGAAGATGTAGAAGAGTTTGCATTCGTTAGGTACTATCAACTGTAGATAATTTTTCATGGCTTTTTTTTACAATCTCACAAGCTGACTAATTTGCTAGGCTGTGAAACTGTTGGGTTGTGCCTCATGAAACACAAGATTAGCTGGATGGAACGGGATGTGTTAGGTGGGTAAGGAACTGAATAAAAGGACAGTGACACAGGCAGTACTGGAGAGGCAAATAATAAACTACAAGAAGGACCTTCATAGGATGCACTTCAGGAACCATTCTGGTTTGGGTTTTTTTATGATAGCCTTGATTAAAATGAATGGTAGGAAGAAGTTGTATTTGCATCCCAGGCATTTCATTCCCTGCCTTTCTTTGCAGCTTGAGAACAAAATCAGCTTTGAAAAACTTATGGAGTGGACCAGTCCTAATGTGATGGAAAAGAAAAGAGTGAAAGTGTACCTCCCGCGCATGAAGATGGAGGAAAAATATAACCTCACATCTGTCTTAATGGCCTTGGGTATGACTGACCTGTTCAGCCCTTCGGCCAATCTGTCTGGCATCTCTTCAGCAGAGAGCCTGAAGATATCTGAGGCCATCCATGAGGCGTACATGGAAGTCAACGAAGAGGGCACTGAGATGGCTGACTCAGCGAGTGTGATGGGAGACATCAAAGATTCCTCTGAGTTTGAAGAGTTTAGGGCTGACCACCCATTCCTTTTCTTGATCAAACACAATCCAACCAACATCATCCTCTTCTTTGGTAAATATTGGTCCCCCTAAAGAAAGAAAGTTCTGGAAATAATGCTTACCTTCCCCTCAGAAGCAGACCCCCTTTACATAACATTGTAGCGTAATCTCATCTCTTCAATATTTTCTCCAAGTGGAAAGCCTAATCTAAGAAATGCCCATTTGGGAAGTTTCCTTAGCAAAGACATACCTGCAGGTGAGGAAACAGCAGCAAGCATGTTTACTCCTTTCCCTTCTCATACTGGTTTCAGGATTGCTTGAGCTGAGCAAAGACTGAGCCAAGAGAGAACAGAGGCACCCACCAGCCAGGAAGGGGCCAAGTGATTTTCACTCAAGGAGCAAGCTGCAGGCATGACTCCAAGTCTTTGGGAGACCATTGCATAGAAAGCCATGGGCTGTGCTCATCCCATTCCCTGGTAGCGTCCTACTGATAAACCCATGTTGTTGTTCCTGAAACATTGCTTTGAGATCTCCAGACTGGAGGAGATACTTGTGGATAAGATTCTGCTATGCAGGTTATTGACTAGTGTCTATGTAAACTTAATTTTTTTTTTTTTACTCAGCTGTTGGGAAATGGTGTACATGTCCACTATCACCAGAGCTGTCCTCTCACCATGACTTCCTCATCTAGGTCTGAATTTCTTGCAGAGGTTCTCCGAAGTCATAGAGAGTCTCCCTTCCACGTCAGAGAGCGCAAAGTGATCTAACTTTGTGTAGATGCAGTTATGCCTTCTCACGGAGTGTAGATTCAAAACCTGAAACATGGATATCCAGATGATCTAGATGATCCAGAACTCAGTGAGAGCCATCAGCCAAAACAGCTGTTTGAATTCTTGTTCAAAACGTTGGAAGACACTTTAAATTTGAGAACATTTTGATTGTTGTGAAAAATCCTGTATGTGGTATTAAAGAATCTGATTTCTCCATGGAATTTTTGTGAAAAAACACAGCTTTCAAAATAATCCCTGACTCTGTTGAGCTTGCTTAGCAAGTAAGCTTCAATTAGTCCCTGGAAAGTCCTCAGGTGAAGTTCAAAACTCGAGTACATTATTCTTCCATGAATGCAGCTGGGCTTCTTTGTTCCTATGATAATTCAAGGCTACATCTCTTGTTTATAAGAAATACATGAGAATCCTAATATTCTCTGTCTTTTTCTTCTAATGTGTCCATTGCCATCTGCAAATATGGATATATTGGCTCAACACTGTCCTGTTTTTGTTCTAATCATACATCATTGATTTTGATGCATACAATCGATTTTTTTTTGTTAACATAATAAAAGAAAATCACAAATGCTTGTAATGAGAATTATATTAATTTACTGGACCATAAACCCTTAAAAATATCATTACTGTTGTGAGTAAACTGGGATTTAGTACGAAATCCTATTTTTAGAATGAATAAGCATGTAGATATGAAGTTTCCTAGGCATTTCCATGCATACATTGAGAGTATGATTCCTCTCTGTATTACAGATTACCAAGAAATAGCCCAATGGAATACTAATTTATTTTTATGTATTTTTCAATACATAACAATGGTTATTAAAGATGCATTGACAATTAGTCTGGTAAATATTTCAAGGAATAACTATTTCAGCAACTCTGCCATTTTAGATGATGAAATAATCTGAAAATCATATAACTCAAAAGGCATGAGAAAGAATAAGTAGATCAACAAGTATTAAGCAAAGCATTTCCCAGCTGAGAGTCTTGAGAGGAGGAACTCTGTCAATAATATCAGCTATTTCTACATTAGCACTTAGTGTAGTATGAAACGAGCAGATCTGTAGAGCAAAGCAGCTGGTGCTACAGGTCTGACATCCACATTATTTGAATATCATAAGGATATTTGTGATGCAGACAGCTGTTTTTCAGTGGTAAATCCAGCTATTTTACTGAGTCTACTTTAATTTTTGTTCTTTAGAAATGAAAGCAGTGATATGAACAGTTCCAAGAGGTGCAAAATTTCAAGATCTCAAGGTTTATCATAAGCAGTTTATTCACCTTTCGCATCTCTCGTAGCCAGAAGCAGTTGATCCAGACTGTTAAATTTAAAAGCCTGTACATTTAAACAATAAGAAAACCTGAAAAGGATTACAGTTGTAAACTAGCTTTCTTATGATTATTAAACTGGAAAGTGCTTAAAGTACAAAGATACGCCTCAGTGACCAATGCTGTTTCCTGAATGACAACGAAGGGCAAACCAAAGCAATAGGAAAAAAGCAAAGAGGCCATGAGGTTTACAAGCAAGTATAAAGCTTCCCCTTTATCAAAAGGGGAAACAGGAGGCAGCAAAAAGTGCAAATTCAGCAATACTGGACCAAACCTGTAACAAAGTACCAATGGCTAGGACCTGGCCCTGGACATCACAGACCACAGAGGCACACTATTTAAAGGGCAGTGGAAGACTATTCCCCATGTAGAGGGTGGCAGACCTGGCCGATGGGATGATGAATGCCCTCTGTGGCCTCAGAGCTATCTAAAACCCTGGGAAGATTTAGGAGAAGCAGCCCTTCTTGTGCCCCTGTCATGGTTTAACCCTAGCCAGCAGCTAAGCCCCACACAGCTGCTCACTCTCTCCCCCAGGTGGGCAGGGGGGAGAGAATCAGAAGGGTAAAAGAGAAACCTCGTGGGTTGAGACAAAGGAAGTTTAACAGGTAAAGCAAAAGCTGCACACGCAAGCAAAGGAAAGCAAGGAATTGATTCACCACTTCTCATCAGCAAGCAGATGTTCAGCCATCTCCAGGAAAGTAGGGCTCCATCACACATAGTAGTTACTTGGGAAGACAAATGCCATCACTCTGAATGTCCTCCCTTTCCTTCTTCTTCCATCAGCTTTATATGCTGAGCACGACGTCATACGGTATGGGATATCCCTTAGGTCAGTTGGGGTCAGCTGTCCCAGCTGTGTCCCCTCCCAACCTCTTGTGCACCCCCAGCCTTCTCGCTGGTGGGGTGGGGTGAGGGGCAGAAAAGGCCTTGACTCTGTGTAGGCACTGCTCAGCCATAACGAGAACATCCCAGAATTATCAATGCTGTTTCCAGAACAAATCCAGAGCATAGCCCCATATTAGCTACTATGAAGGAAATTAACTCTATCCCAGCCAAAACCAGTCTATTGTTCAGCCCCTCTGTGCTCTCACCCACTGAGCAAGCATCAGTGGAAAGGTGCAGGGGCTCCAGGAGTAAGCTGCTGGCATTTTTGTCATAGTCTTCCAAAGGCTTTTGGCATTTTTGTTTTCTGAAGAACTGAGAACCGGTTTCTCTGACAGACTGCTGTGCAGCACCAGACGGAAGGCTTTGCAGGTAACACATGACACAAGACAAAGTCTGAAAGCTTTTGCACCTCTTGGTGCAACTAACACACCTCTAGCAAGCACAAAGAGAGGTCCAAGGGCCTTCCAGTACGAGGCGACGTTGCTCCCCATACAACATGAAAACAGTACTCCTCTGTGGGACTTACCATACACTCTGATTCTAAGTGCCTCTTCTACATCACAGCACTTTCTTTGCACATGAACGTGCAATAACTCTGCTGTCCACACCTCCCTTGAGGTCTACATATAACACAAAATCACAGAACAGCTGCAATTGAAAGTGACCTCTGCTGATTGTCTGTTCCAAACTTCTCCCTTCAAGCAGGGTCAGCCTCAGCAGGCTGCTTGGGATCATGTCCTGCTGGATTTTTAATATTTCCAAGGATGTAGGCTCCACAGTCTCTTTGGGCAACCTGGCTTTACCTCCCTCCCCATAAACAAATGTATTTTCTTATGATTAAATGGAATTTATGCTATTTCAAGTTGTGTCCATTCCCTCTTGCCTGTTCACTGGAGAAAGTCTGGCTCCATCTTCTTTTCACCCTCCCATCAAGTAAGTTACGCACATGGATAAGATCCCCCCCTGCACATTCTCCTCTCCAGGGTAACAAGTCCCATCTCTCTGAGCCTCTCCTCTCATGACAGATGCTTTAATCACTTCATCATCTTTGTGGCTCTTCTCTGGTCCTGGTCCAGTACATTCACATCTCTTTTGCACTGGAAAGCCCAGAACTGGACACAGCGCTCCAGCTGTGGTCCTACCAGCGCTGAGCAGAGGGGAAGGATAGCCTCGCTTTACCTACTGGCAATGCTTTTTCTAATGCAGCCCATGATGCTGTTGACTTTCTTTGCCACAAGGACACATTGCTGACTTACAGTCAACTTGGTATTTGTCAGGATCCCCAGTTCTTTTCTGCAAAGCCAACATGATGGCATGGATCTTTGTGCAGTGACATTTCTCCTTCTTTCCTTTTCTGCAGCAGTCTTTTCCTGCAGGGGAGGCAGGAAACATGCCAGGAGTATTATTAAGAATCTCAGTAGGTTACTAGTCAGAGGAGAGGAAGACTTCGTGGAAGGATGTCTGTGTTGAAGCAAACTGAGAGATTAGTTTATCTTATTTTGTGCAAAAGAAAAATACTCTTTTTCCTGGGAACATGTGCCAAGATAACTGGCATGCTGGGCAGCCTTCCAGTGAGCAGTGGGAAGTAAAGTGACAGGCATGGTGACATGAGCAGTGCTAGTCACAGGCTGCCACAAACAGTCTTCTCTGTGGGGAGGGACCCTGCTAACTAATCTCCCGTACGGCACAGTCAGTAAACTAGTTGAGCCAATGCCAGTGGCCACCTGGCCTGCACCATGTATATGCCGAGTGTAAGGGTCTGGTTACCAGGCTGCCTCCTTAGGGCCCAGCGAGATAAGACCATCCACAGCCTCACCCTGGCTGTTGGCCGATTCCAGGGACTTGAGGGATTAATAAGGGACTTCACATATGCTGTGGTGACTGACAAAGGGACTGCTGTGTGCGCTGGTTTAGAACCTGTATAGCAGCAGACGCTGGATGCTGTGTGTGCTGCTAAGCAAATGCAATGAGTAAGTGTGAGAGTCTTGTGACCAAGGCCATCATAGGATCCTTCTGAAGATGCCTTCACTGGAGAAATCCTGCCAACACTGAGGTACACACATCCCTGTCACGGTCTGTGAACGATCAAGGCAG